AACGTCGAGGTACCGTCAATTCTTCTAAGCCCCAGCATAAGACAACTCCCACTGCGGAAGTGTTTTCGGGAGCCTTCCCCGTTAACACATAGTGGTAATGGGTAGATGACCTGCCAATAGTCTACCAATCCTACGACTAATGGTGCTGAAGACTGACCTAATAGCAGAATTCCGGAGGTTACCGATTTCAGACTTTACTCTCCAGCTGACGTAGAGAATTTGCTCTGGAATGCGAGTTTCTGCACTCGTTCCAAGTGGTCAGCGGAACTGATTTCGCACCAGACTGCACTCATCTACAGCGATGTTAAGTACCCAAGCGATCATGGTACTCTGGATTATGTCTTTTTATTTGATACGTCGGAATTTGCGCAGACAGCGTACGTGAAACTGATAATCTGCATAGCATTCAGGATGGGAAATCAGTTCATTGACTGAAAAGTCGTGTTGAACGACGAAGAACACTTGGGATGTCCACCACATCAATTTGCCCTCCATAGTGACCAAAGAAACCCGAGTGGAACGTCGACACCGTCCGTCATCGACAACGGACGTACATGTAACTTTATTGTTTTAGTATAACAAATCACCTTGTACAGATGGTTTGTATCCTGCGCTCTTCAAAAATGGAGAGTCCGTCGTGGCTAATCTAACAAACCTACTTCAAATATGTCTTATGTGGAAAGAAATCCCACGAAATCGGGGGCCGCGACGGTGATTCCTATATTCAAATAGGATTCACGGAAATCAACCCAAAACCAGAGGCACCAACCTGGTGTCCATAGCTTCTAAGGTGTTCTCTGATATTGTCCCACTCATGGCGTTCATCGGCGATGCATTCACTTTGTGATAGGTGCTGGAGCTGAGCATTCCTTCTGATGACCAAAATGGCAGCCTTTCTACGTCTCAGATCTGCCTGACTCCGCTGGTCATCAGAAACTGCGGCAGTCTGTCGATGAAGGGTTTTCCATCTAAATTATTAACTCGCATAAAGGCTGTACATGGCTCTCCCTGTGGAGATGTATGTCTACGGCAGATTCCCTCCACGTCCACTGGTGTCAGGTAAGGGTATTCACTGTAACACTTTCTCTTAAACTTCGTTATTGATGTGCTGCTTGGCTCCAGGTCACATATCTCCCAGCTTATGATAAACGACTCTAGATTCAGAAGCGATGGCTCTTCGTATTGGATGTTTCGAATCGACGCTTCTGCGATCTGGAAAGTTGCTTCCAACCAGAGACTGGAATTCTGTCCTTCAAATGATCAGGCGCCCAATACTTGATATTAACAGTGGACCGAATGCCCTGATTTTCGTCGGTCGTGGCGCTAAACGTGTCGCTAAATGACATGGCATCTGGCCCTAACACTGCACCTGAATGATTCTGTTGTAAAGAACCTGAGATTTACGTATAAGAGCTCCAATTCACTCCTTAAATTCTGACCAACTTTTACCAAAATTTGATTAAAGCCGCACTGTTTTCAAGGAGTCTTCAAAATACGAGTTGTCTGGGGCAATAAATCGTGAGGGCAGAGCGTTTACAAGTTACACGACTACGCTGCACAATGTCACTAAGTGAACAAGAGTTAATGCTTTACTGTTCGACTTTGATTTTCAACGTCCCTAGTCCATTTGAGATACAATGAACATGACTTGGCCTTCTCATTAGACGTTTCAAGCCATTCTGGGATCAGCTGGATCGGGTTATCATGAATGATGTTTCTGAGTTTTGCATTTCGGAAGTCAACGCAAAACCATACAGAACACTTTTTTAAACAAGAGTTAGAATTAAAAGCGTCGAAATGTAGCTCTCGGAAGGATTCCAACTGTCATCTGATGGCTGTTTTCTGATACAAATAACAGACAACTTTGTGCAGATAATCTCAACCAGAATTCAGTTATCACGTGCTTGTCTAGATGTTTTACATCTACACTGATTTCGTTCGTATTTTATCATTGGCCGCCACAGAGGTAGCAATTGAGAAAAATGGATTCCAAAAGAAGAGGAATGTAGTCTATTCTGTAGAATTTAAATCGTTTCTATCATTGCCAGTGCAGCTGTGTTGCTGAAATGAAAAAATATGGTGCTTAAACCTGCTTACCACAAATACGGACCAGCTGTTAGTGGTCGAACGGTGTAGTCTCCAAACATTAACGGGAAAATTGGAGGCTCAATCTCCATAGAAGTTCTTCAGATGTTCACTGTTGGTGATTCAAAACAGCGACAAAAAAGCTGTACATTTCTTCTAGGCTTTTGGGCATAGACTAGTTTTATAGACAGGATTAAATTTCAAAAGGTATCCACACTGCCACCAAGATCCGCAGTTTAGCATCTTTCAACAAGATTCCATCATTTTCGTAGCATGGGTTATGTCGGGTAAAAACGAGCGCTTCGTCGACTGCGGGGTAGTGTGGAAGTAATGCTAGTTACCAAAGCAGTTTCACTTAATGTTGACAAGTTAGGGCAGATTCATGGTAAAAAGCATTGTTTGTATACTGATCCCTATTGGATTTTGCTTATCTAGAACGGGAGGGATGGAAATCAGGTGCCGCTGCTTCTCTGGCGAGGTGCAACGTGTGGAGAAAATACTTTACATCACCCTGACTTCCATAGATCCGAAATGAGGCAAAAATAAGAAGGCTTATAACTGAGCTAGGAAATTTGATTGCAAACGTTTCATCGCCAATCGAGGTGACATCATCAGTGCGTTGTTGGGGATCATAGTTGTGCGTAGCGGTGGTTTAGTGGTTGTGCCGGCCGCTACGCACAACTACGCTCCTCAATAACGTACTGATGATGTCACCTCGATTAGTGACGAAACGTTTGCAATCAAATTGCCCAGCTCAGCGAACAAGCCAACGACCATCTACGTTACCTGAGCTACCGACATTTTCCTCTATAGAAAAGGCCTATATTTTTCATTGAGTGATTCTTTTTCTAGGGTGCTCATGGTTGCTTTCCAGGACGTCAGGTCATCACAGAATCCAAAGTCACGGATACTCACAAGTGAATTTTTCGTAGTAATCTTCTATCAGTCTCTTCAGGCTTCTGAAATAAACTACACGAATCACGTGCACCGAAGGGTCTGGCAGCTGTTCAGAAGTAGGCTCATTGGATTTCTCATGATCCACCATTTTCCTCCACTCTTAGTTTTTTCTTGCTACCTAAAGTTCTATCATCGGGATCATTGTGCACTTACAAGTGTTACCAGCACGACCGTATTAATCACTCAGACTAATTCTCTACTGCTCGAAGACTGGTAGGGTACTTTATATCTTTGAAATAATTATCCATGACAGAAAACGGTCCTCTTGGGTAAAAAAAAACAAGTTTGCTTCCAACCGTTGAAGTCACGATTAAGAAGGCCCAGCTCCTATAAAGCAGTAATCCTAGTTGGTGTCTCTAGGTGGTATCTCCAAAGACTCACATCCACGATGCGACACCAAAGAACACGCTTCTAACGATACAAAAAGAAACCACCCATTATATCTGACGTAGCCATGTGAGTGCGACATTTCCGAAAAGGCTCTTCCAAAGAGGGGCTGCTTCCCTAGAGTCCACAGCAAGTATCCAGGCGTTACAACAACTTCCATATTTTTCACAACTCAAAATTCTAGCATAACCAACCAGTTTCCCAAGGGAAGACCTTGGTTGGATAGAACTCAACCTACTGGAGCTAGTAGCAATAACTTTCCCAAGAGACCACAGTGCGGAGATGGTACAATGTTCTCTTCCCATGACCGAAAAAGCCAAGGGGATTCGGTCGCTTCAGAGGGGGGGATTGGAACTTGACCGAAAAGTTTCTCAAACACACACGATTACCGTGCCTGCTCGCATGGTTCGCAAAATCAAGTTTAAAAATAAAATAGCGCACTAAGCTTCTTGCGAACCTCTCCAGGTGGATGGGTGGTTTGATCGCACGCGGGGTCGCATCTAACGGCAATAAAGTTGTGGAATTACTTGGATGGATTACATAAATGAGTTCAGAGTGCGGTGGTTTCACTCAAATGCAAGAGTAGAACTCATACTTCATTCCGATAGGTTTCACAACGCATACATATCATAAATATGGAGAAGGAAGTTCTAAATAGTTATACGCCTAATACCTGCATTTACCATCTCCATAAGCACATTAAAAACCTATGGAATTCCTCAATCCAAAGGTATACAGCAAATATGGAACGTTTCACTGAGCCTAGCAAGATGGCTTGGCTTGTGGACACTTTCCATATATGTACAACGCAAACGACGTGTAGGCTGAAGGTGTTCACTACAAACTGGATTGAGAGCATAGTTTCTGTCCAGAACAAGTATCAGTGTCCATCACGAGCAACCATCTGTTCTGAAATATAATCACCAGTTTTGTCGTATGACATCAGTCTGCTTCATCGCACTGAGTGGCGTTTCCGTAGTGCTTTTGTGAGATAATGTGATTAAAAAAGCTTCCAAAGTTTGACCATGTTTATACTTTCCTTAGTTCGCTCAAGGTCAACTGGACAGTAGTAATCCAAGAAGGTTTCCGTCAAGACAGTGAACCAATCCTCTTATGGAGAGTTCACTGGAAATTACGCCTTTCCGATGCGAATCTCAGTGTCGGCATTCAAATGTGCAGCCTGATGAGAATCACGTGAATAAGCTTGATGAGCCGTGCTGATCGAAGCAATAGACCTATGAGGACGAAATTGAGGAACTAGGTAATGAATGTCACTGAAAGGGAAGTCACAAAGAATGTTGGTGATTCCCATCTGGAAATTATACACGGTTCCCTCAAACTACTATTGGGGCTAACACTCTTCAGGGGATATTGCACACTGCTTCATTCCTGACGGGATGATGCCCTGGTCTGATAGCATGAGATTACTTCGATGGTTGAGTTGTTTCCTGAGATTGACAATTTTGTTGCTCCGCACCGATGCGTCACCTGCACTGAAAAGAGACATTCACAACAAAACTGTCGGGAACACTTTATCCAGTCCCCTCCAAAAAACAGCTAACAGTATAGCTCATCTCTTGCATTCATACAATGCATCGGTTTTAAGAATACCATGCACGGGCAACCGAATTGAATCCTCAAAAATGACCAGACGGTCAAGACCATACAAGGAATAAATATAGAAGTATATTAGCTGGGCGATGAAAATGAACTCTGACATGAACGAAACCATTCCGATTAGTGAAGCACGCGACAAATGGATAGGAGATAGCAGAAGGAAGCTCGGTCAGCAAGATCAGAGCAAGTGGAGGTGTAGGCTGGAATGATGAGTGGTCACGAGGTAAGCGCTACCTCAAAGAATCGCCGGCTACCAAGCAAAGAGCGGCGGGGTGTTTATCAAGCATTAGAAGGAATAAAAGAATTGGCCATAAACATAACCCTCCCCTTGTTGTGGATCAAGTGAAAAAGAAGATACATTGTTAAATAATAGTGGTCGTGGTTGACAAAAACAACCCAAGCGCCCTGCGGTAGAAACGCACAACCATTGCACTTGATCTGAAGGGTTTTCTGGTGAAAATATGTAACCAGAATAAGATTGTCACCACGAAAAGTTTGCCACTGTTACAACAGATAGAAAACAAATTTTTGTATCTGAACCGTCCATAGATATTCGATAGAGGAGGTGACAACAGAGTAGAAATATATGTGAGAGGACTAAGGGTTCAGGATAACGCATGCGCAATCGCGAGTTGGAGTCAAGCTCGCCTCGCCTGTTCAACCAGCTCATCCAAACATGATGGATCCGCCAGGGTCGATGTATCACCAAAATCGAAGTCCAGGTTGGCGATCTTCCGGAGCAGTCGTCTCATCACCTTCCCACTACGGGTCTTTGGCAAAGCTTTCGCTTCCTGTGAACCAATGGCACAAAACTCACTTACGGGGATAGCTGCATAGTAATCGCGAATACAGGAATAAACAAAACAGAACCAAGATGTAATCAGAAAATTCATTTAGGCCGTTGGGCTCTAGGCGAGGCAGTGAGGTGTTGCACGAAGAAACAAAACCGTAAACATAAATCGGCGCAAATTCGGATGGACAATGCTCAGCATAAGCCTGGGCCAGAGAATTCGTGAGGTGTATGAAAAGACTAAACAATCAGAACAAAGGCACTGAAGCACGCAAGCTAGTTGGTAGGACTAGGGTTAATGAGTATGGGAGACCTATCAAGGTCACACTCAACTATGTTGATGTGGTATATGAAGCTTTGCGACAACCTGCACACCACAAACGCCTTGATCGAATGGTCTCAACTGTGCAGATACAGTTACCTTAAAATCCCAAAAAATACACGACAAATGCAAATCAATCTCTGTATTGTATTTCTAGCTTCACTTATGTGTAACAACACGATAACCATGCGGTGGTATCACCCAAGGGTGAATATTGCTCAGAGCAGACAAAATTACCTGTAACTCGAGAGGCAAACGGAAATTCGTTATCCTGCGCGGTTCTTCAGTTGCACAAGGGTGCACCACTATTGAACGCCTATAACAGCGTTTCCGAAGAAGAAGTTGCACGGAACAGGAATGGCGAGGTTGGACAGAGATGTACTGGATATCTGTGATCGACTGACCTGCTAACTGGAGTTGTCATTGGCACACAACCCAGACAACTGTTATCACATCGTGAGATAGATTACCTGCGCGCAAGCACGCACGCACGCAAACATCCTCGCTTGCGGGACTTGCGGGTCACAGACCTTGAGGGTGTGTAAACAAACTAGAATGACTAGCGAAATACACTCATTTGCAAACAAATTTGGTTTTGAGAGAGACTCAGCTTGGTTCCACGTGAGTCTCTCGCAAAACCAAGTTTGTTTACAAATGAGTGTATTTTGCTAATTTTGTGCAATTTGGTTTCAGGTAGAACACAAGGTTGACGGAAACTCGGGGACTGCGCCTACCTGATGAGCTCCAAGGAGGGCGAAACCGGTCGTGGGCTGTCGAGTTCTCAGCAACCTTACGAGTAGTGCATCACGTATATTACTTAGAATGATCCAAATCTAGCCCTTGTTTAGAGGGTTGTGCTGACATATAAATTAGCTTGTCTGATAAGGGCATTTCTGTAGTCACTGTTAATTTGCTATAGCGCAGGTTTTTTTTGCCCCATATGGAGTCTGACAATGAGTTTACTGTTAAAGTGGAAAATGGACAACATAAGCCGACAAATTCTGCAGTTCGTTCACAGCACGCTATCAGAACTTTGAACAAAATGTCTCAAACAGCACGTTATACCGCAAACAGAAATCGTAGATGCCATCCCGACTATTGAAAAAAATTGGATTTCTGCTTATTGCGTTTCCGGCATCAGTGTGGTTCAACCATAGCGGTTCTCTTTGAATGTTGAAAATGATTCCCAATTTCAAAAGATCGAGATCCATTTTTTCCGAGTCATTATCAGCCTGATATACGCTACTTTCCACTCGTATCAGGTGTTTTGTATGGGGCGATTTTCCGAGACATTTCACCATTAGATCTCCCCTTTAAGTGGTCCTGGTTTTACTGCTCACGTAACGCATACGAAATGAAAAAGGACAAATAATATGACCACTGACTAGGGTGTACTTTTGCATTTCTGAATATATCACAGAAGTTATCGTAAACAGAATGTTTTCGGCTGTGATTCTAGTTCTGGTCCGCTGGTGACTAGATAAGTAGGAATTTGTTTGCAGCAAGGTGAGCCCTATTGCCGGACTTCATCTTACAAACGTAAGTCGACCAATTCTGAAAATCCAGGACGCACTGTGCGTCTCATTGAATGATAACTTTTTGGGCACCGGAGAACTGTTTTACCCTTATTGGGAATCCTTTGCAGCGTGTAATTCACGAATCCGGACCACACACGCAGGTCTGGTACCCCACCTCCGGCCCACGGATAGCTCGTCAACAATGTGCGTCTGGACAGGATATAGCGTCACTCATCCTTCATTTCGGATGATCTAACAGTAATTGGTTTCTCGACCAAAAACCTACCAGACGGGCCGTATAGTTCCATGAACTATTCTCCTAGCTAAGCAGACGAGTTCTATCTCAGGATAAAAGACGATGAGATTCACCTGCATCACAGAAGGTAGAAAAACCGCCATGGGAGATTCTCTACAACTCTCTAGAGCCCGTTGTTCAATGTATCTAGAAGCTAACTGGCGTCTGGACGGATATAGCGTCACTCATCCTTCATTTCGGATGATCTAACAGTAATTGGTTTCTCGACCAAAAACCTACCAGACGGGCCGTATAGTTCCATGAACTATTCTCCTAGCTAAGCAGACGAGTTCTATCTCAGGATAAAAGACGATGAGATTCACCTGCATCACAGAAGGTAGAAAAACCGCCATGGGAGATTCTCTACAACTCTCTAGAGCCCGTTGTTCAATGTATCTAGAAGCTAACTGCAACGTAGACTTGTTGATATAAAAGACTCCACAGGAATGATGCTCGCGATGAACTCCATATTTCATTGCTATTAACGAATTATTGAGCTTATCTAAACTATACTGATCAATATGTACGGGAACGGTAGTATACGCTCAAAAAGAGGTGAACACAAACAAGACTCTAGGGATAGGCACTTGAAGCTCAATGCACTCCATCAAAATGTTTTTGACAAGACTAACTCCGGATATACTAGATCTATTTCTTCCTTCAAGCAACTGCATTTAACCTACCGCACTCCCAACACTCACTGTCGGTAGATCGGGTATCCGGCTCTTCATACTCGAAAAGATTGTGCCCACATAAGCAGTTAACGCATCACGTTTATCTTAGGAGACCGGAAAAAATTATAATTGAAGGCTGTAGGCAGATAACACAAACAGCTAGTTAGGAATGTCCCATTTCAGGTCAAGTCTGAGAGTCGAAGTCAAAACAGAATTTGCGTAACCAACATAATGGATATCTGATGGTTGCTTCGAGCGTAAGAAAGAGAACACTCTGCCGAACACCATTCCATCCAATCAGGACAGTGCGGGTGAGGAAATGGCGTCCTCATTCCAAGACAGGTGAGGGACATACGTACAGGGAATTTCGAGCAGGTTCTTACAAACAGATAAAGTCGCAGTTAGCTGCTAAAATTTCACGAATAACGAGGCGTGTGGCTGTGAATTAGTCGATCCAAACAAAAGTTGTCCAGCTTCAGAAAGATGAATACACCATTCGCGAAACACATTTGCACACTAATCTGGTCTTAACGGGAGAGTCAACTGAATCCCAATCGAATCTCTTATTTATGATATTCTTCAGATGAACGCGCTGCAAAGTTGGTAGGATATTCGTAGTAAGCTTTCCTAACGGAACACTACTCATAAGTTTGCTGAAAACTATTCAACAGCCCACGACTGGGAACTAAGCCTACTTGACGAAATCGATCACGGCCTGCTGAGTAGTTTACAGCAAGCTTATGAATGTATTCCACCAAGAAAATAAGAAAATGCTTTACACAGGATATTATAACTGCTACTACTCCCAAGTAATCAAAACCGTCCACTTATAACCTCCAGAGAGTGAGGGAGCGAAGGGGAACTGAAAGTTTGAAAATAATTCATGACCCACTGGCCACTGCGAATCTGTGCGGGATCACAACCAACCCAGACCAAATCAGAAGCGAAGCCAAGTAACGGCCAACAGGTGGTGATAAACATCCGCACCAGCACTATTACCGTCGGTGGCACACGTCAAGGCATCACTGTGGCACCACCGGTTAATTTGTAGCTTTATTGTAAAAGGGAAGAAGGATAGAGGGGAAGGATCTGGACCAAGCTTCTGAGAAGCATTCCAAGGTGAATGCATTCCCAAGCGCTCATTCAGGCAACAGTTATTGAAACTCATAACAAGAATGTCGCTCATATCGATTAGCAGCTACATCTTGTAGGGTCACCAGTTGAGCATGGGTAAGATCACTAGGACCCGATCCTGGAACGTGAGTGGCATTGATTCCAGCCAGACTCTTCGTAAACGCTTGCACACCCTTTACCAGGTTGTTCGGTCACTGTCTTGTCTCTGGGTTAGATGCGGAAAACAGCAGTCTTTTCGGTAAACAATGAATCGGCACGCGAAGCCGAATATAAAGCTACCGCAGTTCATGATCTTGAATGCATTCATTGATTGATTTCATCCCCAACTATGGGAAGTCATATCTATTTATTGGGAAGTATGTTATGAAACGTATGGGCTCCGCATCAAGGATGGTAATGCAGGGGCGCAAGAGGATTGCACAAGGAACTCAGCGCGTGGTTTCAATCCAAACGTACAGATTCAGGTAGCACTTTGTATCGATAGCCTGTGTCAGAGACAAGAGCACTGTATCCATCCCGATCGAAATGGGAAATCACAAGCACTTACGGAAAGTCTACATTACGTTGAGTTCGAACCATGGACCCTCCGGTCAGTAAGTCCGCGCATTAAGCGTTGAGCTGTCTCGAGCTCATTACACTAAGTTAAACCCACTTATAGCCTACGTGAGAACGAGTTAGTTTAGTAAAAATCTCCTAGACGTCTACTGGTGGACCGTGTTCTACTTTTACTCGAGAGACTACCGAAGAACTCACAAAACCAAGTGCAAAATACATAGCACGACAGAGACCTCTCTAAAGCGAACCGTTGTCAGGATCGTAAGCACCCGGAGTTTAGCTTAACCGCTTAAACCACCAGAACCGTAGTCGCACGCGACCGAGTGTCCTCAAGGTGATGTCGTACACACACATACACAATACTCCACCACACATGAAGAATGCATGTCAGGCGGACGCTACCACAGCAGATTAAGCATATTGTGCAGGGGGATTAACCGTCCCTTGACCAAAATGCACCTCGGTTTAGGAAGACGTATTAACTTGATACCAAGAAGCTCAAACCTCTACAGCTTTCTAAAGGTCGAGGTTTACTGTGCTAACATTCTCCACCACGGCTTCAGTCAACAAAACGTGCTAATATGATCGATTTCCTGTAAAAATAATATCAAGCGGTCTAGGTTGGATAAGCGTGAGTGGTAGGATTGTATACGGCTAGCTATCAGATTGGTGCAGTCGGAACTTGTAAGAAGACATTATTGAATAATTGCATCGGCTACTACGTAGCGGAGGTCACTATGTCATAGCTCGAATGGCGAGCTGACGGCAATGGATGATCGTGGGGAGCGAAACTAACCTGTATGTGATCCGGTGTAGCAAAAGGCCCGATATTCTTGCGTACAATTTGACACAATTCCTTACGCAGTGTGGGATCTAGGACGTGAGACTCCGAATGCATATCAGAATTCCCACCATTTGAAACAGAAATGGATTGTCTCAGTATGATAAAACAATGCAGACATTCTCCTTTGACCGGGTGCGCCCGACTGACAACCGCGGCTTCGGCCAACCTTGGATGCAATAACAGAGCACTTTCTACCTCGGCCGTACTGATCAAATGTCCACTGACGTTTAACATGTCGTCGATACGGCCTGCACGGGGAAAAATCGGGCATAGAAGAAACCAAGTGAATGTGAGAAGTTGTGAGAATAGAGGGCTTAACGTTCTGCACGATATAGCCTTACGCGAGCTAGCAGCAACGAGGACAAACACTGGGTAACCAGCTGCCTAGGTTATTACGGGTTTGCCACAAATCGGCTGGAGTAGGATCGTCACTGGAACTTTCAAGTAAAAAACAGCAAAAAACGAAACCAGAAATGAATTTTTGCATCTAAAGAAACACCCTAGCGCTTCCTAAACATCCAGTAATCTGGTTCTGTGGAAAGTGTAACCAGCCCCATCTTACAATAATTATTCCACATCAGTATGATCGTTGGCAAACCCCAAAACGGAAATAACAAACGGGCAAACTGGACCACTGGACCGGAACTCGAATAACCTGAATTGAATCCAGTGGAGTTCGGAGCAGCTTCTCGTAGCAGCAATGTTTTGCCACGAAACAGACACGTGAATAAGATTTTCTAAATTATCTCTTTTTTTTACCTCAGTGGGTTGGCCTGGGTTTCCCTTCTATTTATGGGACTCAGCTTTGTTTATTCCATTTGTGATCTTCAGAAAATACCCCAATGGAAGTTGGAGAACTCTTTACATACATTCTGCCGATGAACGTCGTCACCGCTATAATCATAAGCAAATACGGATTCTACTTTGAAGCCAAGCAACACTGAAAAGCCGAGAAGCACTGCAACGTGTGTGTGTGTGTGTGAAAAATGCATCCATACGGAAATCTTAACGCTTGAACTGACGTCTCATCATCGCCATATATCGGCTGAACTAACAGATGGACAGTGAGCTGCTGTGGTGGCATTAGCTAAAGATTTTGAGCATATGAATTTCACATGAAAAGCTGTTTCACCCTTGCTGCGAATAACTGGAGGTATACATCTCATGAACATCTGGGATGATTGGAACTCATAATCTACTAAGTAGTTGAAAACCACATCGCTGTTTCGCTCTCTCTCTCAATTATCATTTATTTTTGAAGAGCATGGTCACAAACATAAGAAGTGAATGCAAGCGATGAATGCGAAAGAGTAACAGGAGAATATGGGAGAAAAGAGAGAAACGTCTCATTCGAAATCATGCCAAGGACAGTGCCAGTCTGATGAGGTGAATCCCAAAGTATGTAAAGATTTTGGTGTAGGAACAGGCGTCTAAAGACTAACAACCAAAGAAAGGACAAACAATGGTGAATGCTCTTCAAGGCGCAGTCTTCAAGGCGCACAGTCAAGACTCGCACATCAGGCACAAAGTGACCGTCATACTGGGTCTGGGGTGAGATCAAATGGCAAAAATGTACCTTCAGCTCCATGTGCCACGCATAAAAGTGTCATAAGTACGCAGGGAGCCCACAATGGCAAGCAAACACAAGTCACTGACTGCGACCTTAAGAAGTCCCAGTCCAATAACAGCCTTAGCGGATTGAGGAAAGCAGATCCCTCGATAAGAGATGATCA